GTGGCTCATATATATAATCCTAGCACTTTGGGAGACTGAGGTGGGGGATCACTTGAGACCAGGAGTTTAAGACCAGCCTGGGCAACATAGCGAGACCCCCGTCTCTACAAAAAATAAAAAAAACTAGCCAGGTGTGGTGGTGTATATCTGTGGTCCCAGCTATTTGGGAGGCTGGGCCAGGAAGATCACTTGAACCCAGGAGTTCAAGGTTATAGTGAGCTACAATCATGTCACCGCACTCCAGCCTGGGTGACATAGGGAGATCCTGTCTCGTTAAAAAATAATAAAAAGAAAGAAAGAAAAAGTGCTATAGATCTTCAGAAGCAAACTTTCCTGGCCAGGAGTGTTGGCTCAGGTGTGGGCTCACATCTGTAATCCTAGCACTTTGGGAGGCAGAAGCGGCAGAATGGCTTGAGGTCAGGAGTTTGAGACTAGCCTGAGTAACAAACATATCGAGATGCCGTCTCTACAAAAAAATTAAAAAATTAGCTGGGCGTAGTGGTGCCTATAGTCCCAGCTACTCAGGAGGCTGGGGCAGGGGGATCACTTGAACTCAGGTTGTTTGAGGTTGCAGTGAGCTATCATCGTGCCACCGTACTCTAGCCAAGGCAACAGAATGAAACCATCTCAAAACAAACAAAAAACAAAAACAACCATACAAAAAACATATTAAAGAAAAAAGAAAGAAAGCAAACTTTTCCCTGAAAGGAAAACTCACATATGCATTAGTGCTGGGGGTACTACGGAGGAATCTTGTTCTTGTTTTAGAGAATCTACCAGAGAATTGAAGGAAATATAGGCTCACACACCATTACTAGATACAATGCAAAACCGCTGTTTGCTATTCCTTTTAGAAATAATGGCATGAGACCCAACTAATGCAATGATTTCCCAATGGATAAAATACCCAAACACCTAGCAAAGTCCAAACTGGACAAGGAGGTTCCTAAAAGCCAAAAGTCTACCCAAAAACCATTTCCTTCCTGTTATGACCAGCAACCACATATAATGAAACTTTAGGAAGGAAGGAACATGGCCAACTGTGTTTACTCTACTACCTTCTATATAACACACAATGGAGACCCAGACCTTCTCTAAGTCTTTGTGAATTTAGACTCTGGCATACGGAAAATTGAGAGTCAATGTATGAATTGTTCTTTCTACACCTGGAGTTAACCTATCAGATGGTTTTGCTGGTACCTAACAGTACCCAGGCAAAATAACAGATAGACAAATATACTGATATATCTTCTCTCTCACCAACCTCCTTCCTTCTTTCCATTTCCCCAGCAATCCCACCCCCAACCCCTCAAAATTATCAGTCTGTTAACTCCTATTAAATTATTCATAATGGCGAGTTAACTAAACTCTCACTTTCAAAATGAGGATGTTAATACCCACAAGACTATTTGAGGATCAAAATAAAGTATAAAAGCATTTTACAGGTAAAGGGTGGTAATTAGGAAAAAATACAAGTATTTTAATAGGAAACTTTTACAGACAGAAATGGCTCTAAAATAGATGTTTTCGTCCTATGAAGGCATCCCAAATGATGATCTAGAATCTTCAGGATTTGGGGAAGATTGCCTAATATCACATATAACAAATATAATGGCTTAAACTTTTTTTTTTAAGGGCAGAGCATAAGGTTGGGAGAGAACACAACAAAATGTCAACTAGATATTAAGATTATGAATTAGTTTTGCTTTCTTTATGCTTTTGGTACTTTCTAAGTTTTCTACAATGAAAGGTATTACTTTTTTTGTAAAAAGAATTTGGCCTTGACCCCCAAAAATGTTTAGCCTTTGCCCTAGGCTTCTGGGAGGTAATCTCCAGGCCCTTGGAATGCTGCTGAATAGGAGTATCTTTGGCTGGGGCCTTCATTCACACTGGATAATCTTAACTATGTAAGTTAGGGTAAAGCTGGCCCCACTTACACAGTTTCAGGGTAGGAGCTGGTCACATGTAAGAACTCTGGATACTGAGGCTCAGCTGAGCTTCCCTGGTTGGCAGGACTCCCTGCGTACTGTCACACATCAATTTCAGAAGAGTAACGTGTACTGACTCCATGGCAGAGAACAATGGAAGCTCTGCATTTGGTATTTCTCCTGGACTCTGCCCTATCTGCTTCTTCCTTTGACTTTTTTTTTTAGACAGAATCTTGCTCTGTTGCCTGAGCTAGAGTGTAGTGGCATCATCATAGCTCATTACAACCTCATATTCCTGGGCTCAAGCAATCCTCCTGCCTCAGTCTCCCCAGTAGCTGGGACCACAGGCATGCACCACCACCTCTAATTTTTCTATTTTTTGTAGAGACAGGGTCTCGCTCTTACTCAGAGCTGGTCTTGAACTCCTGACCTCAAGCAATCCTCCCACCTTGGCTTCCCAAAGTGCTAGGATTACAGGCATGAGGCACTGCACCCTGCCCCCTTGGCTAATTTTAATTGAATCCCTTCCCTGTAATAAACCATAACTGTGAATATAACAGCTTTCAGTGAATTCTGTGAATCTTTCTAGTGAATTATCAAACCTGAGGGTGGTTCAGGGTGGGGATTCCCAAACTTGCAACTGGCGTTCAGAAGTGAGGGCAGTATTCCTTTTAATTTTATAGCTCGCTAACCCTTTCAGTTGGCTAAACTCCTCCCACTTTTATAAACAGACTAAAAACTGGATTACAATAAAACTATTCAAATTAGATAAGAGGCAATCTTGATTTTGGCGGCTAGTCATCAGCAAAATAAACCAACATTTCTCCCTGGTAGTTTAGGTAGGCTCGCCAGAAGCCCAGGCTTACTTCATAGGTGATAGTATTCAAGTTCTGCTGCCCAGAACTGTGTTTATTCTTTCCACTTTCTTTACGCTGCTCTTTCAGGTCAGTTAGTAACTGGAACACCTAGGAAGAGACATAGAAAAAATTTTTATGAATAAATTTGAGAAATATATCCATTCCAAGGTCAATGGTATTAAAGGATACATAGGAAAGTATAGTACCTCCTTTCTTCTCACTAATTCACCTTCCAACTCTTGGATTTGGGCAAATATGAGCCCCCAAAGCATGTGACATTTAAAAAATGTTCTTTTATTTAAATCAAATA